CTTCTTATGTAATTTACAATATTTTCTGTCTTTGGCATCTTGCCAACCCATTCGTTCAACTTCCTCTTTCCTGACTGTGTACCTTTTTTGCCTCCTATGCGGACAACTTATGAGAAAGACAGTGAATCATGTACACAGGGTTTTTCGACCCCAGAAACTTTAAACTGGATAGACTACGAATTCCCAGAATTTCACAGCTGGGCGAGGAATTAGGCTGGGTGGACTTCAATTCCCAGAATTCCCCCAGGCAGCACGCGTAGTCCACCTGCCTTAAAGTCGCTGAGGTTAAGAAGCACTGAAATAGAGGGAGATTTGCAAGAACTTGTACATACAAATGACGGGGAAATGCCTGCTGCTATTTGATTTTTTTTTTCTTTCAAATTTGTTCGAGTTGCTATGTATTGTTTGAATTTTAAACTTCTGTTGTTGGTTTTGCCTGTTTTTTTTTTTGGAGGGGGTAGAAATGAGTGTCAGCTGGGCTGCTGTTTACATTTTGAATGTTTTCCCTAACCAGTTTCTCCCCTTGGCAAGGGGGACTTGTAATTTTTCTAGCCTGCTGACCTTTCCCACAGCTGCTATTCAACCTTCTCAGGCTGGTAGAAATGTAGCTAAGCATTGCCAAAGAAACCGGTGACCTCTTGGGAGAAGTGGACTTAGAGGGGCAGAAAATGCTAGGAAACCAATTCAATGCAGGCACTTACAACCACAAAGGAGATACAAATTTCCATTGTTTATGCAGGGCGGTTGTTAAAGGAATGGCACCCGATTTTACAACCCCCCCTTTTTTTGCCACAGTTGTTAAACAAATCACTGCAGCTGTTAAGTGAATCATGCTTTCTTTATGCAAACCCAGCTCTGCCTGTTGACTTTGCTTGCTGGAAGCTAGCCGGGAAGGTTGCATAAATGGTGATCACACTGAATCTTTTAGCATTAACATTAGATCGGGGGTGTCAAACTGGCAGTCTGCAGGTCGGGTGCGACGCGCACAGGCCTTGCCCACCCCAGCTCCATGAAGGGGGGAAACGTTGCAATACATCACGTGACGCTATGAGTTTGACACCCATGAATTAGATCTTCAGAGGTGGTATTCAGCACGTTGTGACCTGTTGTGATCAGTTCTGGAGAACCGGTAGTGGAAATTTTGAATAGTTTGGAGAACTGGAACAGATTTATGTAATGTATTTAAATAGAGACTTCTAGGGCGATGTTCCTATTGGTTAACAGAAGCAACAATACGATTGGTTAGTAACGTTAGTACCTGATTGGCCGCCAATAGCGGCGGGAAGTTTAACTAAATGTCATTGGTTGCGAGCCATGGAGAAGCCGCTATAAAAAGGGCTGCTGCGGTTCGACTGCAGTTGAAGTTACTGTTATTATTAAAGAGCTGAATTCAACTCCGGTCTGCGAGTCTCTTTACTGGCGACAGAACAATTTACACCAGAAGAAGAGGGGGAAAAGAAAGAGAAGGAGGAAAAGAAAAAATCTGATCAAAAGAAAGAACAAAGGGATAAGGATAAAAAGGAGCAAAATCTCAGAAAGAAATTCAAGGTAAAACTTCTTTCAAGAAGGTCATGCAAAGAACTGGAATAAATATATACATTTATTGAGGAATAGTTTGCCTCCAGGGGTTGTGGACACTCCATCACTGGAGGTTTTCAAAAATATATTGCAATGGTATAATGTCTTCTGCCTTGGGCAGGGGGTTGGATTAGAAGACACTCCCCCCCCCCCCCAGGGCCCTTCCAGTCTATAATTCTATGTTCTGCATTTTTAAGTTATTAAAATAGCCACTTGATATTTTTACTTAACAGCAAAGGTTAATTTTAATGCCTGCTTAATCAATTGAGTTAACCAAATTGCTAGCAATAGCATTTAGATTTATACTGTTTTACAGCACTCTCTGAGCAGTTTACAATCTCAACATGTGGTCCTTAAATTTGGGCCCTCATTTTACCAACCTTGGAAGGACGGAAGGCTGACTAAACCTTCAGCTGGTCAGAATCGAACTCCAGACTGTGGGCAGAGTTAGCCTGGAATATTGCCTTCTAATCACTGTGCCACGAGGGCTCAGCAGATATTGATAGAGCTCTTATGCTTTGTAGCTTATCGGGTAGCAAGAGATCATTTCCAGCATTTTCAATCTTGGACAAGTAGTTCAACGTCTTTCCATGTGATGTTTAGTCTCTTTAAATCTCCCAGGAGTGTCCTTTGTCATGTCGTTTGGCATCAACATCACTCCACCATTGCTGGTACAAAGTCCAGATCAGAAAGGAGGAGGGTTGGGTGTTGGGCTAGCAACCCGTCCTTGTAAAAAATTATTATGACTACTACAAAAACAACAAGAAAGAAAAACTCAGGATGCTTGCAAGCAATGTACCGTATTTGCCGGCGTATAAGACGACTGGGCGTATAAGACGAGCCCCCAACATTTCCACTCAAAATATAGTTTTTGTTATATACTCGCAGTATAAGACGACCCCCCCACTTGGAGGCATGCTTTTCAAGGCAAAAAAGTCGTCTCATACGCCGGCAAATACGGTAAGTTGTAACACTTGGGGTATTCTGGATATAATTCTTGATTGACACCCCCAACCCCTTTCCCCCAAACTTACAAAGCCACCAAAATGCTTTAGAGAGGCAGCTTCGCCTTTCTCAGGCTGGCACTCAATTCCTCTCCCTTTCTTTGTGACAGCCCCCGCGTGCGTGCCATCGGGACTCCAAGGGTAGGGGATGGACAGCTGCCAACTCTCTCTCTCTCTCTCTCTCTCTCTGTGTGTGTGTGTGTGTGTGTGTGGTGTGGAGGGTAATTCCGGCTATCTCTGGCCTCCGCTCGGTTTTAAAGTCGCTTGGCCGGTTCCCAAGTCGCAAGCGCGCGCTGGCCGGGAGACGCGGCGCCGGGTGGAAGCTCGGTGCAGGGGAGGCAGATCTTTCTCTCTTAAGCGGGGAGGGGAGGAGGGGACAAGAGGAGGGACGGGACGGGACAGGGGGCGGGAGGAGGGCGCTCGCCTTCTTCCACCGCCCACCGGACCCTTTTCTTCCCAAGGGGACCCTGGAAAGCAGCTCGGGAGCCGGGTGGCCCTGCCCAGCGGGGTCCCATCAGGAACTTCCTGAGGACACCCCCCCCCAAGCACAGCCCTCCCGGTCTTTCAAAGAGGGAGGGAGAAGCGGGAGGAGCAAATTGCCGCCCCCGCCCCACTGCCCAGAAGGAGGGGCGCCACAGTCCACCCCCACCACCTTCTCCCCCCCCCACTCCCCGGGCCATTACGCGGCTCGGGGCTGGCTGGGCGAAGCGGCCCCGCCAGAGACCCTCCCGCTCCACCCCCACCCCACCTCCAGATTGGCCTCCGCAAGCGCCCCGAGCCGGGCGGAGGGTGGGTGGGTGGGTGGGAGGAGGAGGAAGAGAGACTTCGGCTGGGCTTGAAGGGGCTTCGCAAGTTGCGGAGCTCCGCCCCCGTCGCTCTTGCACCGAGTGACAATGTATTTACCGGCGTATAAGACGACCCCCCCACTTGGAGGCATGTTTTTTAGGGCAAAAAAGTCATCTTATACGCCGGCAAATACGGTAAATACATATCAGACCGCAAGCAACCAAATCTTGATCATGGGGGATGCTGTGTTGGTTGTTAGTGGAAAGACTGGCTCTAAATCATATATTTCAGTGCTGTTGTAACTTGGAACAGCCACTAAATGTAAGTTACCTGTATTCCTTCACCCAGAATCAATAGTTTTGATCCCACAGACTCCGTGTTAAAGAAACCAATACATGTATTTTATTCGTCTTTAGTTTAAGTTTTACTATAAGACAAAAATATAGAAGAAACAAAACATAGAAACACAAGAAAAAGAAAGAGAAAATAGCAGAAAGGGAAGAAAAAAGTAATGACTTCTATTTCTCTTCAATGCAGGTTATAAAAATAATACAACCTCAATCTTTGGCTTTACATTTCACATTTCAAGCGATTTCTATTATTCCAAAATCATAATCACCAAAGGCTAAAATCAAAGTTTCATTTTCTCAGTTTCAAGCAAAAAGTCCAGAAGCTGTTTCCAAACAGAAATAGAATTAGAATTTTCTTTAATTAAAACAGTGAAGAAACTAATAAACTTGTAAATCTTTATATTTGTGTCATTTGAATTAATTTTCTTATATATATATAAAGCACAGTGTATATAAGGCAGTTGAATCTTCAATAGAAAACATTCTGTTTTAAAGCAATTTTATTTTGATTCATGGTTAGATTTTTTTACATAGAGATTAGAAAAGAGCATACAGTAAAATAAACGAAGTCCAAATGAAGTCAAGAAATGATGTTTGTTCATAACCAGCAACAGCTCTGTTGGCATGCAGAACGGGTAAATTATTGAATCTTTGATCAGGCAATTCAGTATAGATTCTGCATCTGTCAGCCTGGAGCCCTGCTGGAAAAAAGAAATAGGGGGGAAAAGGGGTTTAAATAATAAAGCAACAGCAGATTTAAGGAGTATGAAAAAATTATTTTTTGTCCAAGATTTAAAGGAAGCACCTGGCCTTCCAATATATGGAGTGTTCTGTGTGTACCACACACCGTAGAGGTAAAAGACTGAAAGTTGATAAGTAGGATTGAAAAATCCTTTCAAAGTAACCACTTTTTAAAAATTACAGTCCAAAATCTCATAAGCTCTTAGATGAGAAAGCAGAGATGTTGTAAAACACACCAACTTGACTACCATTTAACTTTTTAAATAACAACATAATAAACATTTGAGGCAACAATAAACATCTGCAGCTATAAAGCATAGCAGACATCCTATTGTAATGAATTCCATTTTTATTGTTAATCATTTTCTCACATGAAGTTTTCATACTGGTTCTCTGTGGGGGGAAATGCATTTGTCTTTCTTTAGTCTCCTATCTGCAATTAACCTTGCGTCTACCTCCACATTCTTTCTCTTGTTTCCCTTCCTGCATTTGTTTCTTAAATTTATTATTGATCTATGCAGGGCCACTAAGCAGTGTACAATGTCACTGGCCTTTTTTTTTCTTATTTGCATTTTTCTTTTCCAGTAAAAGTTTTGGAATATTTGAGGGTTCAAGAGCTCTCTGAACCAGAATCACAAAACAACAACCTGTCAACCCCATGCTGAGAACATCATTTCAAATCACATAATATTTCTGGAGCTGGTAAATATGTGTGCTCCCTTCCCTTGTAATTTCTCCATTTCCTTCTCCATTAGGTCAAGGGCATGTTGCTAAATTTTAAGTTTGCTCCATTGCAGCTATGTCTCAACAGTCCCCTGTTGTCTCAGACTAGGTTCGCACAATTAACAATGACTTATTGAATGAACCATTGATAGCTGGGCTTGCTGAACATGCTTTTGCAAAAGCAAGCAAATTGAGTTAGAGTTTATTTAATGTGTGAGTCCAGAATTTTCTCATTTGTTTTGTATGTATTTCTGAATGCATTCACTTTATTCAATATCCAGGTGATATTCTTTGGATTAAGGGGCCTTAACAAGTACTGCTAATAGCTATGCTTCTCTCTGAATAAATTATATGAGAGTGAATTTTCTTTTAGGTTGCCCCAAAAACTCTTGTGATGTAGCATCTACTGAATTGAGGTGATTAACCCTTGTGTTATTTTGTAAAGGTTGAAATAGAATGGTGTGTCTACCAACTATCCACTTGCAAAAGGGACCTATGAGTGGCTTCCTACTTTCCCCCTGGGGTAGGGGATGAGCCACTGGGAATCCCTAGCTTTAGCAGTCTAGTGTAGTGTTTCTCAACTACTTCAGCAACTTGAAGATCTATGGACTTCAACTCCCAGCATTCCCTAGCCAGCGTGTTGGATGTGGATCTCTGGGTGTTGAAGTCCACACATTTGCTGAGGTTGAGAAACATTGATCTAGTGAAACCCAAAAGATTGACAGATTTCTGATAGCATGGAAGTGTTCACGGATTGCATATTGGTGCCTCAAAGGCAGGATTTTGTGCAGCTCAAACTTGGAGAAAAGTTGGTTTATCAAGTTTGCAATAAATGAAGCAATATAGACGACCATCTTAAGAGGAAATAATTTATAATTAGGACCCTAGCCAGTAATGGTCCATTTGCAACTTTGGGTGCCGTTCTCTTCATTAAGGAAGGAAGGAAGATCATGGTTCCAACTTGTAAATTGAATGTAGACATTTTATTTTACATCAGGTTATGCTTACGCAAAAGTTAAGATGTTTGTCTTATCAACAACTTTTATATAAACCATTATCATTACTGCTGCTAATGTGGCTTTCAATTCATTTGCTGCATTTCCTTCCCTTTTGAGGTTAGTTATTTGCTATCTTTTCCTCTTACTCAACAGTACATATGTGTTTTAACACCAGATGATGTTTCATGAATCCAGTGAGTTGGACTCTAATTCACCAAAACTGGAGTCTTAAGCAGCCAGCTGGGGGCCTTTCCTATTGTATTTTAAATATAATGACTAAAAATTTCATGTGAGTTTGAATATGTTAAAGGAATTTTTTTGAATTGTCCGTGGGTGAGGTGGAGCTATGCACAAATATTCCAATAAAAAAATTATTTTCATAGTCCCATGGATTTTGATGGATTGTACTCCCAAAGTACATTTTCAAGAACCATGAATGTGATGGATGCTGGAGAATTCTGGCAGCCACAGTCCACGCATCTTAAAGTGGCAAATTCAAAAAATACTAAAGAAATCTTTCCCAACCTGATACCCTCCAGATAAGTTGGCTACAATTTCTGTACTTTTCAATAATGCTGATCAGGATATAAAGCTTCGTATCCCAATGTGTTAAGAAGACATATATGAGGAATGGCCCATCCCATTGAATAAAATCCACCAACTTTTTTGATGTATGTTTATTTCAAATTGTATGAAAATTAGCGTGAGATTGCTGAAGAACTGGACAACATGACTGATCAAAAGGAACTCTATTCTGTTATTGCTTGTATCTTTCAGGGGTGTAACAGATGGCCCATTGGATATTTCGCACGATACTTGTCTGCATACCGTTATGTCTTGCACTGGTTCATAATCAAGGTATAGACAGCAGTGTTTTGAATGGAACGATTAAATCCCTGAATTGTAAAATAACCGAGTTTAAAGGAAATGCTCAACTTAAGCAGCTTTGTAGCAAATGACAAAGTATTCCCAGTGCAAGGCAATTTAGGGTGGTTGCTCACTTAAAGAAGTCCTAATTGATCCTACGATTAACTCAGATTGATGATGTGCATATGAATATGGCTGGGTACATTTTAGATTGAGCTGGGGATAGGATAAGAAGATCACACACACCCCTCAAATCTCGGGTAGGTTAGAACCATGGATGATTACCAGAGAGTAAATGACGAGATATCAATATGCCACTGACTAGAGATGAGCAAACTTAAGTTCTATTACAGCTAGATGGAATAAAACAGTCTTTGAAAGTATCCTTCACAATATCTTTGATTCACCCATGGAGATGATTAGCAGCATCACATTTCTGGGTGTGCAGCCAACAAGTAGGCTGCCTTGGTCAGCCAACAGTGAGACACTGGTGAAGCAAGCACAATAGCACTTGCATTTTCTGCATCACAAGAGAAAAGTATATCTTCCTTCCACTGTCCTTACCACTTTCTATAGCTCAAGCGCATCCTCTCATATTGCAGTACCGTCTGGTTTGGGAGCATTACTGCTTCAGACAGGAAGGCAAAGCAGAGAGTGGTGAGGACGGCAGAAAGTATTATTGGTAGTTCACTACCTTCTATCCAGGACATAGCATATAAGCGATGCTAGAGCAGGGTCCGCAGTATTGTCTGGGATGTTACACATCCTCTTTGTGATCTGTTTTTCTTGTTACCTTCCAGGAGGAGGCTTCGTGGTATCCGAAGCCTCCACATCCATATTCAGTCACAGTTTTGTTCCATACAGCATCAACCTTGTTGAACTCTCAAGCTTCCTCTTTCCGCTATGTATGCATGATGGACAGTGATTAATGTTTATATATGTAAGGATGTTGATATATCCATACATATGTATATAGTATGTCTGTATGTGTGTTATGTATGTGTACACTTTTGAGGGCAGGCAACAGAATTTCATTTTTAATGTGTGCCAGTGTGCCCACAGTAAAAAAAAAAAGAGAGAGAGAATAAAGGTTATCTTATCTTAATAGAGTATTCATCCAATAAACGATTGACCAGGCAACAGATCAGACCAGTAAACTATTGCTTGGGTGGCCTATCCAAAGGAAAAGCAGCAGACAAGGTAAAATTAAATCAAAAGTCTCGATAGAACAAAGCAAGGTATTCACCGGCAAGGATGAGTTTTAAAGAAGTTGTTTTCAACAATGGGAGCGAACATAATACATAAGCCATGCTGGGCTGTGTAGCCAGTGCACAATTGAGACTCATCAAAGAGTAGTTGCAAAGTTTGTTCTGCTGCTGGCTCCCACATGCTTTCTGCTTAGCCTCCCAGACCTGTGAAATTCAGTGCTCTGATACTGGATTTCCATTAAACATGTCTGCTATGATTAAGTGGTTGAACTTTTGAGTCTAGATAACTTTCAGGGTGCAGGGCAAGTTCTTGTGAACTTGCTTGGTCTGTCAAAACCAGAGTGGCTCCATGTGAACCTTATAAGGTACCAGACAAAGAAACAGATACCCTGGACACCAGTTCTTTTATTAGAATGAAATTTTGCAATATGCTTCCTTTCCTCTCTCTTTTATCTTCATGAGAATTGAGGAAGGACTGCTATCTGAAGCGTTCGTGCAAACCCATTTCTTGGCTTTGGCTCAAGTTTTGTTTATCTGATTGTTGCTTTGTTTAGCGTATTTTTTCTTGTCCTTGAAGGCCATCCCCTATATTCACTACACTGTAATATTGCAGAAATCTTTAGTGACATGACTGTTGTCCCATGGTGCTTCTGGCTCAACTTTATCTCAATCCTCTTCCTCTGAGGAAACATATTCTAGAATCTTCTCCCATTCTACGAAATAGTGGGAGCCAGCTCTAAATTAGATCTGAAGGTGATGACAGAATCAAGCCAAGCCCTCTACCCTAAATATAAATGCCATGACCAAAACTGTAAGAACAACCTCCTCTCCTATAAATTTCTGTGAATAAGTTAAAAAAAAAAAAAGGTGGATCTGGGGGAAATTTATGGATTATCATTTTGTCATCTTAATTTTCTATTATGACTGCACTTTTATTCTTATTGATTTTATAAAATTGTTTGCTACTCAGATTCAACAATTTGAGATGGGCAGCCATATAAAAAAGAATGAATGAATGAATGAATGAATGAATGAATGATTTGGGAGATAATGGTAAGTGTTGGTATTTTTCTGTGTTGGTCCCTTCCATCACAATGCATACTGTTAAGTCTTGCTTTTAATTTTTTCTCCCTGTTTTATCACTCTGAGCCAGTGGGTAGATAAAAAGACCAGAATCCAACCTAAATAAATCAGATTCATGGCCCTCACCCTCAAATTCTTGGCTCTTAACTAAAGAGCATATTAATTAAAATTAACATGCAAATTGAACCTTCGGATTAAGGAAAATATTATAAAGAAACAGATTATTTCTGTATAAATGTTTCATGAAACTACTTTATAGATTCATCTATCTTAGAATTTCTTAACCTTAACAAATTTAATGTTTGTTGTCTTAGTGCCTGGAATATCCCAGCCAGTCATGCTGGATAATTTTTGGAATTGAAACCCTTATATTTTAAAGTTGCTGGGGTTGAGAAACACTTAGATCACTCATTACTTTTTTCCATTTTCTATTCTTTTTTCTATTAGGCCATCAGTTGTTTGAACCAAGAAACCTTAGGATTTACTCAAATAATTCTCTTCAGCAACTGCTACTGGAATGGGATGTTAGTGAGGAAGCATATAATTCCAAAATAGACATTGTTTTTAATATCCAAATTCGTTTAAGAGAAGAAGACAAAAGAATTATTTTGAATGTAAGTATCATTCTGAAAACAGGTCTTAAGAATTTACATCATCTTCCTCTTGAATCCAATTCCAATTTAGTGTAAATAAATTTTAAAGTTCAAGCTAAATCCAAACTAGATGCATACATATCAAAAGTGCTCTTTAAGAAGCTTTTACTTCTTCTTTCCTGTTAAAAAACAAGTTTGAGAAGATGAAACAGGAAGTAAAATAAGAATTTGCTATTCTTATATAAGAGGGGGGAGGGAGGGAGAGAGAGAGAGACCGAGACTAGCACTCAGTTTTGGTCACCACATTACAAAAAAAAAAAATTGAGACTTTGGAAAAAGTGCAAAGAAGAGCAATTAAGATGATTAAAGGCCTGGAGACAAAAACATATGAAGAACACTTGGAGGAATTGGGGATGTCTGAAATGGGGCCGTGATGGCGAACCTATGGCACGTGTGCCACAGGTGGCTCGCAAAGCCATTTGTGCCGGCATGCGAGCCTCAGGCAAACTTACCTCCCTGCGCATGTACGCACCTCACAACTGACTTTTGGCTGGTTTGAGGCCTTCTTCGGCCTCCCAGAGGCTTCCAAGAGGCCAAAAAAGGCCTCAAAGCAGCCGAAAATCAGCTGTGAGGCGCAGTGCAAGTAAGGGGAGAGCGCATGGGGGGGGGGAGATTGCGCACACATGCGCAGGGGGCACGCATTGTCTCCTGGGTGCTGGAACACGTGCGTGCGCCAGCGCACACACAATTTTTGGCACAGGAGACCAAAAAGGTTAGCTACCACTGGTATAGGGTTTGAGCAGAGGGTTGGACTAGAAGACCTCCAAGGTCCCTTTCAACTCTGACCTACTCTATTCTCTGTTGTCTAGTCTACTCTATTCTTTCTGAATATCCTGCCCATGTTATGAGAAATGTCTGTTCCTGTATTTCTGTAGTTTTTCCTAATGGATAAATAGCATTACAGGTGGTCCCCATTTCACCTTGTTTAGCAATCATCTGCAAATTCTGATGTTGGTGACAAATAAACTTGATGACCAATTGTCGCCACTCTGCAAAGAAAAGCTGAAGTCAGATCATAAACCTAGTTGCAATTTAGTGACTGCTCCATTTAACGACCAAATTGGGGTTGGACTAGAAGACCTCCAATGCCTTCTCTTGTTCTCTTCTCCTTCCCCATTCCATTCCATTCTATTAGTAACCCCAAGGTCACATGATTGCATTTTGAATGCTTGACAACAAGGGTGCATTCCAACTATTTGCAGCATCCTGTAGTCACGTAACTGTGTTGTGGTTTTTCAGACAACCAGAAGTTACTTCCTGTTTTGGGTAAATCCACATCATAGCAAACAATGGGTTTACTTAATGATCACAGTGTTCATTTAACAACTGCAGCATTCATTTTATGACTGCTGCATTCGCTTAATGATAGCCCCAACAAAGTCACAACATACATGCTCCTTTATGGCAGTGTGTCAAAAAAGGAGCAGAGAGGTGCGTGATAGCTGACTTATATAGTCTTCTAATACTTTTAAGGGAAATACCTGGGAAGAAGTTGCAGCTGATTGTAAAGCAGTGAAGATGATTAAGAGCTGGGTAGATATGTGAAATATAAATATACATTGTCAACAAAGCTGCATGTGAGATATTGTTGAAGCAGCCAATACTGGTTTTAGATGTCAGTTATATTTCAAGCAAGAAAACTGCCAAAGAACTCCAAGGCATTGCTCTGTTTCTTATTTTGTGGTCAGCATTCTAACCCAAATGGTTCTGAATTTTGCTACATCTGTCAGTCGGTCTGTCCATCCATCTCATCCATCAGCTATGTATGTATGTATGTATGTATGTATGTATGTATGTATGTATGTATTTGTTTATTCATTTATTTGCCAGTTTTATCTGCCACTCTAGCCAAAGTCAGTGAGCATTCCGGTACGTAAAATTTTACACCAGGAATCCAAGATTGTACTCATAAAATTCATAGCATCCGGGAACCATCATAAAAAAAAATGCATATACCCTTCTACCTCAAATGCCCAGTGAGCAAACCCCATCTTGACTGAATTCTGAAAACACAAAAAGGGACGCATTCTGATCAGGAGTTAGTTCTTCTTTAATGCTGGAGCAGCCATGCTAGAAATTCCAATTTCTAGCAAGGTTCTCCAGCGTATCTTTATTCACGTGTATAGTAACCAGACTTTTGTCCTTTTACAGAAAGAGTGAAATCAAAAGAGCCAAAATTTATTGTCTCATGGGTTTGGGTTCCTTTTTTAATTAGCTTCTCTTATGGTATACTTTTAGGTGAATTATACAGCAGTTCTCAATAAATCAAGACAACAGTGGAGTTTTACCTCTGAGGTACCCTTGCAGTGTGCAACGCACGAAGCCAGAATAAGGAGCAAAGTGGCATCTTCTCAAATTTGGAGTAACTGGAGTGATTGGGTAGCAGCAGATGGTAAAGTCCAATTACCAGAGAAAAGCATGTTGTACTCCATTCTGCAGCTTCTCTAACTTGAATTTCTGTTCCTGTTTTTTGTTGCTCTTCATAAATATGTCTGTGGAGATTCTCAGTCATCCAGGTTGTGGTTATCCCAGAGGTGCTTTTTTCAAGAGACAACTGAACTTTCTGGTTTTTCTTTGAAGACGTTTCACTTCTCATCCAAGAAGCTCCTTCAGCTCTGACTGGATGGTGGAGAATTAAAGGATTTATATTCCTTGCAGACAGTTGGTCATTTGCATTCTTTTAGAGAGGAGTTGAGGCCATTTGGAGGTTTATCTGTGTCCTCAGGGTCACCTGTGTAAAGAATGCAAATGACCAGCTGTCTGCAAAGAATATAAATCCTTCCAGTCCCCACTATCCAGTCAGAGCTGAGGAATCTTCTTGGATGAGAAGCAAAAGATCTTCAAAGAAAAACAAAGTCCAGTTACTTCTTGAAAAAAACCCTTTGGGACTCTTCACAAATAATTACCTTATTGTTATCAGGAAGGGACTTGGGACAGGGGTATCAAACTGGTGGCCTGTGGGTCGGATGCATCATGTGTAGGCCACCCCCACCCCAGCTCTGCAAAGGGAAAAACATCGCAATGCATCATGTGATGGCCACACGATGCTGCGAGTTTGATACCCGTGATATAGGGTGACATTGAGCAATTTGATGCCCCACTCCCCTTGCTAAAACATCAGCTTTTGAAGGTTTGGAAATGCCCCTTGAGAACAACGAGCATTTTAATAAGCTGCAACAGTTCTTAAAGTATCGCAAAAGCTGTTTTCTCCTGGGAGATTTTCTTCAGGGGCATTTATTTGCCCATAGTCCATCCTTAAACGTAAGGTAGATGAGTGATTAGGCTCATTTAATGGATTTCATAAATCATCTATTCTGGGCATAGGGAAACCATCAGGTTTTTCCCCATAGCGTTCAACTAGAATCCACCTACCTGTATTCTGGGATAATAAAAAAATCAATCAAGTGTTGTTTATGTTCTGTTTGAAAAGGAACATGGGGCTGATCAGAATTCTCCTCTCATGGAGAACTCCTGGTTGTAAGTCTGCGTACATGCTACTGTATCTGCAGTTCAGCTGATCCTCATGCATGATGCTGCAGTTTGGCATCCTCATACAATAACCTAGACCAAGGGCCCCAACCCCCAGTTCATGGACCAGCACCGGTGTACCACATGCCAGAAATCGGGCCGTGCAAACAATTGAAGCCCCATCCATGTGATGTGGACTTCACACAAAACCACGCCTCCTCAGTCCACAGAAAAACCTCTTCTACGTCCCTGATACCCAAAAGGTTGGGGGCCTAGACATAACAGCATTTGGTCAAAGATAGCGCAAAAGTCCTTCTTCCTGGTTTGATAAGTAGCATAGCATACATATATCTGCAGTTTGAGTCTTATTTCTGCCATGAACGTCCTCTGCCTCGAATAGTTCATCCACCTCTCAACTTAGTCTCCCAGTTGGCCATATGGAGAACAAATAATGGCAACTAACACAATGGCAGCTTTCTCCAACCTGGTCCCTTCCAGGTGTTCTGGGACTGGCAACTGCCGGAATGCCAAGTGAAGATTATGGCACTTTGCTCAAATGGAGATTTTTCATTTTTCTAAGGAAAAATGTCCAAAAGATCCCTTTGAACAATAAAATAATTAAATGAAGAAAATGCAATCTTCTTTTTCTCTGTCACTTTTGTGCAGGCCCGGATGTTCTCAGCAATGAAAAAGATCACATCTTTCCTGAAAGAAAAGTATTTGAGCGAGGTTCCAACGTCACAGTTTGCTGCATTGCGAAGAAAAATAAACATGTAGATAGTCTTACATTTTACGAGAAACAACTGAAGACAAATCAGCAACGAGTATTATTTACTGAAAAGCCTGAATTTTCATTCCCCCATCGCTTTCAACTCACTTGTGGTTTTAACGGCAGTGTCAATCACGTGTATCTCTACCTCACCAGTAAGCAGAAATTTTTCAGTCTTATTGCTTGTCACTATGGACATTCTAAAAGGGACGTGGTGGCTCAGTGGCTAAGACGCTGAGCTTGTCGATCAGAAAGGTTGGCAGTTCGGTGGATTGAATCCCTAGCACCGCGTAACGGAGTGAGCTCCCATTACTTGGTCCACCTTCTGCCGACCTAGCAGTTCAAAAGCAACATAAAAAATACTGTAGAAAAATAGAGACCACTTTGGTGGGAAGGTGACAGCGCTCCGTGCGCCTTTGGCATTTAGTCATTCCAGCCACATGTCCACGGAGACATCTTCAGACAGTGCTGGCTCTTTGGCTTTGTAACAAGAGATGAGCACCACCCGCTAGAGCCGGAAACAACTAGCACGTATGTGCGAGGGGAACCTTTACCTCTACTTTTATGGACATTCTGGGGGTGTTGCAAAGGGCCTGGACTTCACTTAACGGTAATCCCAGCCAACATGGCCAGTGATCAGAGATTATGGAAGTTACGATCTAGTAACATTAGGAGATCCCATGTTGCTCTCCTTTGCTGGAGAGAACAGGATTATTTGAACTAGAACTGCTTGAGATTTTGCTGAATTTTCTGAATACTGAAAGATTTCATGCCCTAAAGTGTGCTTGGACTATGGATAGCTCTAGAAAACACACACACATACACACACACACACACACACACACACACACACCAGGGTTTGGGTTTTTTGTTTTTTGTTTGCTTGCCAAAAGGGATTGATCATTAATTTCCTGTGGCTGCTTTTGGAAGCAAATGTAATCCAGTTGATTCCAGCTGCTTGATGATCTAATGATCATCAGTTCCCTGCTGCCAATAAATAGCAGGTTGGAAGAAAGATACATAAAATAATTATGCATGCATGGAGTTGTTCAAGTCTATCTGAATGGGTGATTGAATACTGATGTGTACCCCACCTAGTCCAGCTACTTCTGTGGTTCTTGGGCCCACCTAAAACCCCTTTCTTCCAATTCATCTGGCCCAGAAAGAGCTAAGAGATCCCATTTCCCAAAATAAAGGAAGCAACGGTCCCAGGCAAAGGGACACTGCTTCTTCCTATTCCATAGAGGGTGAAACACTTAGGATTAGCAACCTGAATGGACTTCCATTGCTGAGGATGGCGCAGGAGGCTACTTTAGGAAGGGCTGGGAAGATCACAATTTGTGTGCCCTTTCCTTCATCTCCTTCTATCACAAGAAGTGCTATCTATCTATGCCTCTATCACAAGAAGTGATAACCCCAGTTTGTCCAAAGGGCTGGTCTTCAAATAAAGGACAGGCTATAATGAGGCATCTCCTGGGGTGGGATTCAAATTTTTTTACTACCAGTTCTGTGGGCATGGCTTGGCTTGATGGGCATGGCAGGGGAAGGATACTGTAAAATCTTCATTCCCTCCCCACTCCAGGGGGAAGGTTACTGCAAAATCCCATTCCTTCCCCACTAACCTGCCTTCCAGCCCCTTTCTCCTGTGCAGGGCAACAAAAGAAGACCCAGCCAATCAGCTGGGACTTGGGAGGCAGAGAATAGATGGGGGCAGGGCCAGTCAGAGGTGGTATTTCCCAGTTCTCTGAACTACTCAAAATTTCCGCTATCGGTTCTCCAGAACTGGTCAGAACCTGTTGAATACCACCTCTGGCATATCCCTATCTTTAAATTTAGGGAATCAATACCAGGATACTGCAGTTGTGATCCTTTTACATACAAAACAATGGGACATGTATAGAATGGGGTGGCCATTCTGTTCTACTAGTTTTCTAACACTCCTCTCACTTTTAGGTAGCAGCCTTCCTTGAGTTGGGGATGAATGCTCCTAATTATGCCCTTTCCTTAGCAACAGTAGAAAAGTGGCTACTCACTGCTGCCTTCTGTTTTTTTTTACTTCTCAATCTACTCCATTATCCTAGGATTTTCATGTGTTCTCCCATCCATCACTAATAAGGGCTAAACCTATTAGATTTTGCAAGGGTCAGCAATAGTTAACCAGATGTTGCAGCTGCAAAGGACTTTTCTTCTTGCTCTCCACAAATCAATGATAATTCTCTCACTTTCCCAAAAGGGAAAAAGACCAGGAAAGAAGGACGCATATAACCAAAAGTTCTCCTTGGCTGTGTGTTATGATATGTACAGAATAACCCTTCAGTAACAAGGATATGCACATGGAAACGTTTATGAGAGTAGTTATGCATAATTATTCAGCCACACACAGATACACTAAATTGAGTTAAAGTTTACTTTAAGAAATAGCACAGTCCAATAAACGGTCCAGGTCATATACGTTTTACAGTCCAAAGAATATCCAATTACAAAGTATTCTTACCGGTTGCCTTTGTCATTTACAGTAAACAAAAATATCAAAGTATAAGCACAGCATAAATACAACAGAGAACCTTAGATAGCAATAGAATGTCAGAGAGACAGAATGTCAGAGAGAGCAAGCTATGATCTCTAGCTCCCTCTTAATTTGCAATATAATCAACCAATCAGAATATAGTATAAATCAATACAGTGATTTTGTCTTAAAGCTACAAACATACATTGTTGATTTATATATTGCCAACCCAACTAATTGGTGGACAGATTCCTAACACTGAACCCATATGGATAATTGTAGATAGTCTAGGACATATGTAACATTGATTAGGAGATGAATATGTGACTTTCTTGAGAGGAAATAATATAATCAGAGCAGGAAGACTCAAGTTCTAACCCTGTGATGATGAACCTACGGCATGCGTGCCGTTGCCCCAGCGCACGGCTCCCACCAGCCAGCTGATCTGCCATGCATGCGCAGGGGGCGGGGTGCATGCACAGGGGCACGGGGGCAGGGAAAGTGTGAGATCATGCACATATGCACAGGGGCATGGGGGAGTCACACGTGCATTGCATTGGTGCAGGCACGTATGCGCACGTACACACATGCACATTAGCAATTTTGTCACACGATGACGAAAAGGTTAGCCATCACTGTTCTGGCCTGAGCTCAGGAGCTCAGAAGGTCAATTTGTGCCAGTCTCTCAGACCAACCAATTTCCCAAGTTCTTGTTGTGCCTGCTAGGCTGGAAGGAGGGGTCAAGTGAGGACTCAGCTCGGAGTCGTTATGCAGCTGCTGGTGGCATAAGCCTGATCGTCATCCCCTAAGATCCATGAAAGTTTATCTGGTTATTACCATGGGAAGGCAAACAGTCTGGTGATACTCTTGTAGCATAGGTGGTAGATGATGTAGTTGCTGACATTAGCTATAAGTGACTCAGGTTGCTTGTGTCTGACATTCTGGATAAAGACAAGATGAGGAAGCACTGTGTGTGCTGTTCTGAATTCCTGATAAAATTTATATTAAAACAGACAAACTGCAGAGCTCTATAATCACTATGGTTATTGGAAACATCCTTGAATAAAGGTGACAAAGATGCCAAAGATGGAGCAGGATTCACTATCTGTTCCCAATGCTTGTACTGATAACCTTTCTTGTGGTAGTGGTAGGAGGGGGGGAAGAGGGGAAACAAGATGAACAACTTGACTTGTTTGGTAAGGAATTGTATAGATGAAATATATAAGAAAATAACATATGAATCTGAACTTGTCTTAATAGGTCAGCCTGATAAACCCCAAAAGCTAAGCTGTGAAACCGAAGACATGATTAATATTAGATGTACTTGGGATCCTGGACATGTAGAGAAAGCTGATTACTTGGAGAGACACTGTCCAAGGGAGTTTATTCTGTCTGATGTGTAAGTATCAGTAAGACAGTCAAAGTCATCCCAAAGGATAATAGGAAGGGGCTTAGAGTAGTTGTATCAGGATTTAGGGGGGTATCTTTGAAAATAATGTTTGGGGATGTTGAAGACCTTGATGCCAGGAGACAAAATCTGTCTTGGATAAAAAAGATTGGTGACTATCAGAAAGTTAAAACAAACCAGCTATTTGCATATTTAACTTGAATGGAGGAAACCTTTGACATTTTGCTTAAGGTTATTGTATGCCTGTACTAAAATAGATATAATGAAATTTACAGTGGCTTAGAGATAAATCTTGGTTCAGAATAAATCTTGAATAAATAAATCAAAATTTCTTTAACGTATTATTTTGGTCTGCAAATGGAATAAATACTGTCTTTTTTCTCTCCCATGCTATTTTTTGAAAGCTCTTCTACAAAAACATATTGTAGTACAAAGTTCGCAAAGAGTTGTTCATTCAAGTGGGATGACCAATTCCTATACAATGTAAAGTTAACCTCCAGAAATTGCCTTGGACAGAAACATGAGCAGCTTAGTTTTAATGTAATGTACGTAGGTAAGGGTTGATTTTCTTACTAATTTTTGTATTTCATCCTATTGTTACAATCTAAGAGCATGAAATAGTTTTGCATGCTGCAACTGGGTAAAACTGTCAAATAAAAATTAATGTTGTGAATTGGTCCTTACAAATAGAATTGGCTATCCCACAAAGATCTGGAGAAGTTGTAATTGCCAGAATATGTGATTTCTTCTCCTGTTGTTTCCTTACTGATAAATATGTTGAGAAAAGCAGAACAAATGAGAACCTGGCAAAGAAACATTCTTAGCCCATTCTTGTCTAATCTGATGACCTACATGTTAAAGTTTTGCAATTGTATTTATAACACATCTGGAGAATATTACATTGGGAAAGAATCAGTGATTTCCACAAATCAGGTCAAAACAGGCATAATGTCATGATGCCCCCTTTTATACATAGCATGTTCAAAACGGATGGGGCTTGTGCAGGGGTGGGATTCAAATTTTTTAACAACCGGTTCTGTAGGTGTGGCTTAGTTGGTGGGCATGGCTTGGTGGTCATGTGACTGGCTGGGTGTGGCCAACTCGAGGCACGCATCTCCTCACCTGGCCTCTCATGACTGTGGGGATGCAGTTGTAAGTGTGAAAAATGGTCATAAGTCACTTTTTTTCCAGTGCCATTGTACATTGTACATTACACAAGCAAAGTACCAGCAAAGGAAGAAAAAAAACTCCAGAGAAGTTCCTGAGATAGGAAGTCTAGTCTTGCCAAGAATGTAATAACAGTTAATGGAGAGGCAGTTTCTGTAAGCAACACCAGAATGTTTCCTTCCTGCCTTCCTTACAGCAGGGGTCCCCAACCACCGGTCCCTGGACCGGTACCGGTCTGTGGAACATTTTCTACCGGGCCGCCGGTTTGCTGGGCTCCGCCATCTTGTTTCGATGAGAAAGTGCTTCCGGGTGAGCTTTTCCGGTTGGAAAGTGGCGTTTGGGTCCTGAAGGAATCCTCGCACCTTAGTTTCATCGAAGAGGGGGGCGGCTTCGAACGAAACTAAGGCGCGAGGATTCTTTCAGCACCCAAGGCAAGGCGAGCCGAGTGACCGTCCCGAAGCCGTCCCGAAGCCCATCGACAAAGGTCCAAAGGAGGAGTTGAAGGTGGCGGGAAGAAGCGGGGGACGGCTGGCTGGCTGGCCGGTCGCTCGGCTCGCCTTGCCTTGTCATGCGTGCTGATGCCGGTACCGGGCCGCAGATCATTTTGTGATGCCGGTACCGGGCCGTGGCACAAAAAAGGTTGGGGGCCACTGCCTTACAGGATTAGGCCAGTAATTTCTTCTAACAACCGGTTCTCCGAACTGCTTAGAATGTTAACAACCGGTTCTAGCAAATAGGTGAGAACCTGTAGAATCTCACCCCGGGCTTGTGTTGTGTTGTATTGTGTGCAAGGCCTTGCCTGCTGGAACCCTTACCCACAAAGATGCGATTGGGTAATTTAAGCAATTTAGAATTTCTAGTCTGTTGGGCTGCTCCTGTTGCTTTTCTCCTCCTGATTTACTTTAAGCTATTATAAATTCAGCTTTTGGGATTCCTTTAGTAGGATTTATTCCTGTTGCCTTTCACTCTTCATGATGATTCTCGTCACCCAGAAGGCTCAAGTTACAAGCATTCACAACTTGGAATGTAGATTGGATTTATTTGGCTAAGGTTTGACACATTCCATTGAGCCCCATCATGCCAGGGAAATTATTGATTACCTTCCTCATTTTGGCAGGAAGAAAAGAAACCTTATTTGTGTGTGTCCTTCTTTTCTTGTCTTCGAGAACTGCAACCACTGCATTGGAAAATTGGGCACACTTCACTGATGGGAATGAAAGGGAAGAGAAAACAACTCTGGAATAAAAGGAAAATAAGCTGAAGTGGAGAAAGTAGAAAAAAAAGATAATGCCTGATAGATGGTTGGAATCGTTTTTATGCCTGAAGATCTTTCATGACAGAGAAGGGATGTCCAGGGATGATAAAGCAATTTTGGATTGATTGATTGATTTATCTATCTGATTTTATGGCCCAAGGTGTTGATTTACTTTTTTTTCTGAATCCTCATATTCCTTCATTTTTCTCTTTTCAACCAGTTTGTCCTGTAATTATTGGTAAACCATCAGTGGATTATCGAAATGCTACTTTCATTCAGTTATCTTGGCAGATAAAACCAATAAATGCAAGCCTATCATTGCTATGCCAGATCAATGTTGGCGAGAATAAGGTGAGAAGCATCTATATAAAGTAATAGCAACTCTCCCCATCCTGTTATAAATCCTGCATGAGAAGTCAGATGTGGTTGTTTACATGTGCCTTATTTAATTCAAAACCCTTTTTATTTTCTATGTTACAATTGCAAAACAGCCAAATCTCTAATGTTTAGACACCCTCCAACCCAAATCTCAATCATGGCACAGTTCACCCTATCATAAACAGTAAATCCATTATCTGAAGACCCAGATTGTTGGGGGCAATTTGCTGATTGTGTAAATTGCTTAGAGAGGGCTGTAAAAGCACCGTGAAGCGGTATACAAGTCTAAGTGCTATTGCTAAATGCCATCCTTTAGAAAGCCACCAAATAGTGGGTTATGTACAGTGGTGTCATCTTAGTGGCCCAGAAATTTTTGATGAATCTAATGTTACCTTGTCTGCAGTCCCCCAGATCTGTTCCAAAGAATGAGACGAACATTGGGAATCAATGTGTAAATTAAACCTTTTAGAGTTTAAGTTGATTGGAAAGGTGGATAGGATTTTTTTTAAAAGCAATTAAAATAATGAAAACAATTCCTTCAGATCAAATTCCAGTCTTGGTGGCTACGTAGATATGTCTGTGTAGGTTTCTCGGAGGCAATATAGATCTGGCTTGCAATTGCTGCCTTTCATTATTTGTTGTTTAGATTTTTCAGTGTAACCTATGGTTCTTGATTTTCTGATGGACTCAAGTACAAACCCAAAGCAGATCTGACCCTGCTTAGCTTTTTTGGGATAGGTCAAAATTTATTAGATGCTAACATTTGTAGGTACATTTCAGAACAACAGTTATCCCAGAGAAAGATAGTATTTGGCCTCTTAACAGGTTTACTCTTTGTATTTTGCAGTACAATATCACAGTGCAGTCCAATTCCGATTCCCATTTCCACTTTCAACTGGGTGGACTGCAACCTGCCACAAACTATATATTTAGAGTACGCTGTGCTGCAGATGTCAGTCCCTTCTGGAAATGGAGTAACTGGACAGAGAGTATATCTGCTGAGACTACTGAAGCTGGTGAGCATTCTGTTGTGGAAGAAAAGTTTAAAGTTTAGTTTACTTTATTGTCATTGCACTTCGTACAATGAAATTAAATACCATCTTCAGCGTGCATTATGACTATGAAAATAAACACAAACACATATCCTTCACATTCTATACATTGAATTGAAAACTCCTGATATTGCATTAATATTGGGCTATACAGTAGAATTCAACAGAGTTACTGCCCTGGGATAAAAGCTGTTTTTCAGCCTATTTGTCCTTGTTTTTATTGTTCTGTACCATCTGCCAATGGTAATAGTTCAAAAAAAAAAAAGGGGTTCCCAGGATGAGATGGATCTTTGAGAATGTTTTAAACTTTCTTAAGGCAGTGGGAGCTATAAAGCTCTTCCAAAGAGGGGAGAGGGCAATCTTCTGGGCAGTGACATTAACCCTCTGGAGTGCTTTTCTATCTGTGCAATTGGCAAACCATACACAGGTGCAGTAAGTTAAAATACTTTCTATGGTGCAGCGTTAGAAGGTAGAAGGATGTGGAACCTAGAGTTTTGTCTTCTTCCCTGTCTGGTGTCCTCCAAGTACTTGGAACTACAAGTTCCATTATCTCCAGCTAGCACAGACAGAGGATTGAAAGAGTGCAAGCCAATACATTGGGCAGGTACTAAGTTTAAATATAAGACATAAATAATAAGTAAAGAGTTTAGTCAAAACTATTGCTTTTCAGAAGTCAAGGAAAGTATATCTTGATTCAATTGTCATACATATATCCACTCAGTTATATTCAGATATGTAATCTTGCCAAATATTGCAAATCTGAGTAGTGGAGTGTTTTTTTTAAAGAATCAATATTTTTATTGAAATTAACTTCAACTATTCCCTGGCCAATTCACCTACTAGCAGGTGAACTGGACTCCATAAATTCAGTAATTCTAGACATTGGCTACCCAATCTAGCCTACACAGGAAATCCTTGAATTAAGACCACAACTGGGATTGGAATTTCAGTTGCTAAGCAATGTGGTCATTAAGCAAATCATCACATGACAGGACCCGATTTTACGACCATTTTACTGTAGTCTCTAAGCAAATCATGTTGTTAAGTGAATCATGTGGTCGTTAAATGAATCCAGCTTCCCCAGTTGACTTTGCTTGTTGGAAGATAGCTGGCAAGGTTGCAAATTGTGATTGCAAAATTGCAACTACAAGAAATTTCAACTGTTGTAAATGTGAGCCGGTTGCCAAGTACTCAAATTGTGAATACATGATTGGAGGGTTGATCTGATAGTCATAACTTCAAGGATGAATCATAAGTCATTTTTTTCTATGGCTATCATAGTCTAGTATTTTCAATATTAGAGCTACCATAAGAGCAGCCCTATAATCTTTCTCAATTTTCTTCCGGAAATTCAATAATATGTAAACTAGCCTGCTAAGAGTGAAGTTAGAGGGACTTCATTTTGTCCTGAAGAATCTTAAGAGCTTTTAGTAAATTAGTTAGAGATATATCTAGTGACTTCCCACAAACTTCCAGATTAGATACTTAAATAATATCTCAGAGTTGTCTCACTGAAGAACCTTCTGGTTGCTGGTTTTAATGCTCTGCCTTCTATGTTAATGAAAGAGATATAACAACACTCCAGTGCTAGAATATATGTCACTTTCTGATGGGAAAATTGAGCTCACTGTGTAGGTCCACTTTACCCAGGCTAGTGCCTGACCTCCTTATGCCTCTTTTACTTGCTTATTTATCTCCTGGAATCTCCAGAAGAAAGTCAAGTTTGGTTTAGTGGTTAAGGCAGGGGTCTTCAAACTTGACAGCTTTAAGACTTGTAGACTTCAACTCCCAGAATGAGAATTCCTCTCAGGAATTCTGGGAGTTGAAGTCCACAAGTCTTAAAGTTGCCAAGGTTGGACACCCCTGGGTTAAGGCATCAGGCTAGAAACCAGGAGACTCTGAGTTCTAGCCCCGCCTTAGGCAAAAGCCAGCTGGGTTTGTTGAGCCAGTCACTCACTCTCAGCTCTAGGACGGAGGCAATGGCAAACCACTTCTGAAACCCTAACCCTTGCCAAGAAAATTGTACGGACTTTTAGAGCCAAATATCAGGCACAATTGAATGGAGGGAAAAAGAAATCTCTAGAAGGATGGCACATTTTGCTCAGCAGTTCTTGCTATTCAGTTTTCAAAACTTTCTTTTAATATAAACCCTTTCATGGTTAATCCTCTTTTTGGGGGGGAATAGGAATAACTTATTATTTGAGAATGTGATCTCTTTTTCTCTTTGTGAATAGATAACTGATCCTAGAATGTAAATAAAAGCCACTTTTTCTACTCACAAATGAGAGAGTCTGTTCTTACCTGCACTCAATTGGATATTTACAGTATTAATACTGTATTGTGAATTTATATCCTCTATTCTTATTTCAAGAATAGCCATCCGCTCTTTTACAAAGACCATTAAAGTAAGAAAGGATGAACATTTTGTAAGCACTGTCAAAGAATGCAGGTGTCCATCTTAAGGTGTTTGTGACTTGTGAAAGTGTAGAAGATCCTATTAATATAACAGTGTATTTATATAATTATACTATTTGATCATCGAGCCTGCTTCCATAATGTGTGCTTTGTTTTTTAGCTCCATCAGGACTGCTTGATGTCTGGAGACATATTAACTCAGGCTTGGAGCAACGTAATGTAACTGTATTCTGGAGGGTAAGTCTGGCCATACATGTAAAACTGATAGGACATGTAGAAACGTATATTAATGAATACACATCACACTATTCGTGTGCTGAGTACAGAAGGATAACAAGAATTGTAAGAAACAAGCAATGAATAAGATAATAGACTGAAAACGGACAACAGATGGTCCATAAATATTGACTTCATCCATCCATCTTGGATTTGGTCCTTTATGGCTTCCATATAATCCTTTTCAGAAAGACAAAGAATGGCATCAGCCTTGGTTATGGGCAACATTCCCTCGTAATGATAAATGCCTTGTGGTTCATAGAAAAGTGCATACAGGATGATAACATTCTGAATGATTAAGAAAATATTCTGCTTTTCACAAAAATAAATATGAGACAGCAATAATATTTGAAAAGTAGAATTATATGGGATAGTGTACAACAAACTTTGCACATTATTGAATAATATTTCTTTGGTTGTGAGATTTTTTTTTCTACAGTAAATTACTGTGTGATACATTCTGCAAAACAGAAGAGCAGCATTTTCATGGTTAATGGATCGCTCCCTCACCATTAAAGACAGCTGAGGGTGCTAAGTCTTTTGTATTAAAAGAAATAAGCAAATGAGGAAACTGTTTCCTCTGTCATGAACGTGTCCAACAAAATCATGTAAAGTTTACCTACTTGCTTGACGTACCGCATAACTTACTCTGTTATCCACACACAATAAATACAGTAAATAAATCAGGATCCATTCAGGGTGCATGAAAGAATAGCATCAAATTCTGCTCTCTTTGTAGACCCAAGCCTTGAGTATAAGGATGTCTAAAGATGTCTATATTCTATAAGCCATTGTAGAAGGCATGTGGCTTTTTGTTGTATGCTCACAAAGCGAGAAAATAATGTCTGTAACGAAAAACAATTTGAAACTATTATAGAAAGGTGCATTGATGAGAAATGTTTTTTGAGAGAATTTTGGTTTCCTGTCCATAGGAATCCTCAGAATTTCGTGCTAATGGAAAGATCCAAAAATATCTGCTATCCTGGGAAAATTTAGAGGACCCTTCTGCCCAGCATCACAATGACTCAGTTTCTGCATCACAGAACTACACAATTTCTCTTGGCCACAATTCATACAAAATCCTTGTTTGGGCACAGAACAGAGCATCTGTATCCTCTCCCTCTGTGATCATCATCCCAGCAACTGATAAAAATGGTGTGTTCATTTAAACATGTTACTCCAATGAATCCCCTTTTCCTGAACCAGAAAGAAATGTGAAATATCACAACTCCAGAGTTTTTTTTTTATTAAGTTCCATGATTCTACTATTGTATTAATTATTCATTTATTTATTTTATAAACAACTCAAGGTGACAAATATATCTAATGTTCCTTCTTCCTCTTATTTTCCCCATAACAACAGCCCTCTGAGGTGAATTGGGCTGAAGATAGAGTGGCTGGCTGAAAGTCACCCAGTTGGCTTTCATGGCTAAGACTGGACTGGAACTCATAGTCTTCTGTTTTCTAGCCTGGTACCTTAGCCATTAGACCAAATTGGCTTTCTTATTGAACTTATGATCTTTGGTTTGATTGAATGTTTGGGATTTCAGCCTTTATATGACAATTTATACTCTGCTGCTCTTTGGACATGACATTTTTTTTTTTACCCACTGTATGGCAGCGTAAAATGTTTGAGTGGTGTGATGGCCTAGAGGTGGAGCTCCCACCTCTCAATCAGGAGGCTGTGAGTTTGATCCTTGGTAGAGGCAAATATCTGGGCCCACTGAGAATATATCCGCGGAACAAAGCTCTGCATTGGTGACAGGAAGGGCATCCAGCCATTAAAAACACTCTGCTAGATCCATTCAGTTACCCAGAGTCCACCCCGCAAGAGATTATGGGGTCGTTAAATGATGGAAATGTTTTGAAAAGGTTTCATTTTACATGAAAATGTAAAATGTTTAGCAATTTGCTTGCTGCAAATTAAAACATTTGTACGCGTATTTTTTTCTTTTAAAACTCTATATTGTTCATTTCATTTTCCACAAACCCAGAGAAGTTCCAGGGTCTGTGCTACAGAGTTGACGTTGTAATCTTATCAAGAAACAAATCCCATTTAATTTCATAGGATATACTTCCATGTGAATGGGGATGGACTTTTCACTCCAATTCAGCTGAATGATAAAACACTGAGAGTTACAATGCGGTTGGTTGGTTTGAATTCTTAAAACAAACAGGGAAGCAGCACATAGTGAAATGTAAGAGTCTTTTCTCTGCCAGCAGAAAACAAAGTAACTGATTATACTGTTTTATTTATTATATTTATATCTAGGGTTTGTTCCACTTAATTACAGTTCAAACATTTTTTTCTGGACTAGACCCCATAACATTGCCTGGTAAATGAGAATGCATGTTCACCAAAGGTTGACAAATATTGTTGGAGGATCAACAGAACATTTGCATTTTTATACAGGTCTCTCCAAAAAGCTGTGTGAAAGAAAGATAAATATTATGAATGACATTTAAAGATTTTCATGCTAATGCCTAAAAATTGTTGCATTTTTTTAAGGTAAAGTGCATTATAGTGAAGAGACTACAGACAACAATACAGAACATAAAATTTATATTTCTTGGAAGCCTCAAAGCAAGTTCAGTCAGTATGTTGTTGAGTGGTGCAACCAGCCCACACATCACTTGTGTGATTTTCAGTGGAAGAAGTATGGGCAAAACCAATCCAGTGATCTCATTACATCTGGTAAGAAAAAATTAATTTCGTTAGTAAATAATTCCAGAGGAGATCATTGCTGTCTGGTTGTTAAAGGTACTGTAACAATGAATTCTTCTTTCAGTCAAGTTTGAATAATTTTATAGCTTCCTTGGCTGCAATATAGAAACGATTAGTGCTTGTTTTCTTCTTGAATATTTTTACTTCTCAGTTACTATGAAGTTTTCCTACCCAAGAACTGACCCATTTCATGAACCAATGTAATATTTGCAAGAGTACATTGATCAATCCATCAAATCTTTATTATGGTCTCAGACCAATATAACAAGGTGCAATACAAAACATTAATTTTAATAACTAAACATATCAAATGTACAAAGTTAAAAAGCTTAATTGTGAAATGTGCAAGGATATTGCTACTTCCTCCAGCCTGGAGGTTCAGTTCCATTCTGACACACAAGTCCACAAATTAGTGTCTCAAATGAGGAAGAGGGGGAGAAAGTGTCCTTTCAAAACTGGATGGGACAGTGGTCCAGTCTTCCATGCTCATTTCTTCAGGAAGGGCTGTTGCCAAAAAGATCCTTAGTGGAAGGTAGACTATTCTCTCAGGACTACATTGTGGGCATATAGGTGGTTCTTCCATGCAAGCATTTAAATGGAAACCCCGCAAGGTTAACAGAAGTACTGTGTTTTACTTTTTCAGTGTTAACTTACTTTCTATCACTCTCCAGCTTTTGTAATTAACCACACCGGCAGCCATTTTGAGTCAGTTTTTCACCTCATAACAACTACATTTGTGGTAAAGCCCATGACACTTGAAAAGAAAAATGAAATCAGAAGCTCCATATAGCTCTTACAAATCAATGTTTTCCAACTTTCCCAAACGTCATCACTAGCTCCCACTGGTAATTGTACATTTTATATTCCTAACTCTTTGTTCTTTGCGGTATATTTCTTGAAATTTATTTTAGATGCCTTCAAACGTGGGGTAAGATACACTTTTAATGTGTATGGAATACAAGGTGATAGAAGTTATTTATTGGAAAAGAAGGTCAAATATCTTGAAGAGGGTAAGTTATGCTAAACTTTTATACGTTAAATTAGACTATGACTGCAATGTGTTATGCACATGTATAGCACACAGTGCAGGATTCGCTGTACACCTCAGATTTGTTGCACTGTGATCTGTGTTCAGCAGTGATTTGATTTATTCTGTAACGTGTCTCATTGCAAAAATGGAACACTGAAGAGCTGTGGATAACATGTTTCCACATGGGAATTCTTGTTTGCTTCCCAGTTCCTGAGCTTCAGCAAACACAGGATTTAGTCACATTCTTAAAAAGGAAATATGATTGAACAGTTCTTTAGGTCTTTATTCTCAGTTATCGGCCCAGATTATTTTTTTGTGTAAAGAAAGACAGATGTGTACCAAAGATACATTTCAGGGTTGATCTTGACTGTCTATGGTAAATGTTTACAGTGGTTCTATCTGCCCATCTAGATCAGATGATAGGAGTAAGATGAACATGGATACAAGTCTTATTGTTCCTCTTCTTATCAGTGGCTAGCTGGCTGTAAAAAAAAATTTATTTATTTATTTGATTTGATTTGTCAATTGTTTACAAGATAATAAGTATAAGTGTATACATAGTTGTGAATACATGAAATGGGTACATATAAGAAAAATAAAACAAGAATAAGAGAAACAATAGGACAGGGACGGTAGGCACGTTGGTGCGCTTATGCACGCCCCCTACAGACCTCTTAGGAAAGGGGTGAGGTCAATAGTAGACAGTCTAAGGTTAAAGTTTTTGGGGTTTGGGGAAGAAACTACAGAGTCGGGTAGAGTATTCCAGACATTGATCACTCTGTTGCTGAAGTCGTATTTCCTGCAATCAAGTTTGGTGCGGTTAACCTTGAGTTTGTATCTATTGTGTGCTCTTGTGTTGTTATGGTTGAAGCTGAAGTATTCATTGACAGGAAGGACATTGCAATGTATGATTTTATATACCATACTTAAATCAGACCGAAGACGGCGTAATTCAAGGTTTTCTAGTTCTAGAATTTCAAGTCTGGTGGTTTCAAGTCAGGGTGCTGCTTGGGGTTTTTTTTTTTTTAAGGAGTTGCATCATGGATGATGGTGGGGTGCTAACTCTGCCTTTTCTTGTATTATCCAATACTGCGTTGACTTCCATTGTGTGGAGTTTGGTTCATTCAGGACTGTCTGTCTCTACCATCCACCACAAACAATTTCCAGTTTCTGGTGCCTCTCTATAGACATTCCCTATAACTTGTTATTTTCTCTTCCCAATTTCACCCATAGCTTGCACAAATGGTTAGAGGGGTCCGGAACTGGGTTAGTTTCACCATATCATTGTACCATCTTTGCAGCTGTCCATGTGAAGATCTCCATTGCAGGAGGTTTAGCATTTTTGCCCCATTACAAATGTTAGATTTGTTTTATAAACACCACATGTATTGAAGATGTAGAAAGTTGGGGAAAGCATTAGGGGTTCATTTGACGTTAATATTACATGGCAGCTGAGATAGGGCAGTTTTTGGTGTGGAATCTGAGATGGGGTAGATTTTGATGCTGCAAAATATGCAGGATCTTAGGGCAGAGTACTGAATAGGTATCGTGCAGTGGTTGTAGTGCAGTATTGCAGCAAACTCTGCTCACAGTCTGGAGTTTGATCCTGCTGGAGTTCAAGATTGACTCAGCCTTCCATCTTTCTAAGGTCAGTAAAATGAAGACCCAGATTGATGGAGGCAACATGCAAATAAAGCTTACACTGTAAACTGCCTAGAGAGTGCTGTAAAGCATTATGGGACTGTATTGATTTAGGGAAGTGTTTTTCAAACTTAGCATCTTTGTTGGCTTGGGAATTCTGGGAATTGAAGTCCACATATCTTAAAGTTATCAAATTTGAAAAAACAACTGGGTTGACAGATATAAAAATGACCCGTGACTTCAAAAGAAATGTCACAATCAATTTAAATCCCCTCTTAGAAGGAAAACATTGAGGTCTCCCAGCCATTGATATAGTTTAGATAGAAAGTTGTGAATCCATATTGGGATGTCTTCCTGTTTGTACTGGCATGACTTCCATTAATGCTATTTGTAAACTAACAGATCTCTCTGGAGTAATGTTTTCATTTATATGATTGTTAGTCATGTCAAAACTTTAATTATTAAATAATGATACACACATGCACACACACACACACACACACGGATTAAACTTATAGCAAATACATATTAAAAGTTGTCAATTTTCTGTTTTCCAGAACCATCACGCTTCCTCTCATGTAATATAGATGCAATCACCGCAAATTCATTAAGAGTCACTTGGAAACGAGATGATCCAGAATTCAGCTCTGGTTTTATTAGAGGTTACATACTTTACATGAAAATAGATAATCAAAACTGTTCGGTACAAGGATCCAAACAATTTAGACATGCAGGTAAGTGATTCTCTCTCTCTCCAGAATAATGTATCTTTAAGTGAAATGTGAACTTTATTTAGGAATTGGTAGACAGTCCTTCTAAGCACAAAAGAAGATGAAATATAGTTCATAATTCATTTTTTTAAATAAATAAACGAAAGTAATCTAAGAGGAAAAACAGGAGTGGTGCGATGGCCTAGAGGTGATGTTGTCACCTCACAATCAGGAGGCTGTGAGTTCGATCCTAGGTAGAGGCAGATATTTCTGTCTGGGCACATGAGAATATATCTGCTGAACAAAACTCCACATTGGTGACAGGAAGGGCATCCAGCAGGGGTGGGATGCTACCGGTTCAGCCCGATTCTATAGAACCTGTAGCTGCGAAAAGCAGCTGACACTGGTTCAGTGTTTTGCCCATCCACCTGCCCAGGCTCTAGGCTGTCCTTTAATTCCCTGCTTTTCCATCCAGCACAGCTGAGGTTGAAAAAACGAGGATTTTCAAACTCTGCGCATGCAGTCAGCTGTCCAGGCGGCACAGCTGATTACTTGCAAACACTGTTGCACATATGCGTAGTTCCTTGGATTTCTTGCTTTCTAGCTAATCTAAAAGCAGACCCCAACCTTCCTTTACAACTGAAGCTTCTACCTTGCAGTGCAGACTCAAGTAGCCGATTGGAGACAGATAGATCTCTAAGTGAATCTGTGTTTCTGTGAGCAGCTCAATCTGCCTGCCTGCTTTGCCTGATTTTGGGTAAAAGTTGCTCTTTTTTTTTAAATAAAAAATTCAATATTTACATACATGGTGTTTTGTGAGTTAATTTTGTGAGTTTGCTTGCAAGCAAATTTTTTGAGTTTGCTTGCAAGCAAATTTGATGTGACAGACTCAGGTAGCCAATTGGAGATAGATAGATCTCTAAGTGAATCTGTAATTCTGTGAGCAACTCAATCTGCCTACCTGGTTTGCCTGCTTTTGGATAAAAGTTGCTCTTTTTTATAAAAAAATCAATATTTATATAAACATTTATAATATTTACATACAAGCCATGCCCAGTCAGCAAGCCACACCCACCCAGTCACATGACCACCAAGCCATACCCACAAATTAGGCCACACCCACAGAACCAGTTGTGAAGAAATTTGAATCCCACCCTTGGCATCCGGCCATTAAAATAGTCTGCTAGCTCCATTCAGACTCCTCCCCGCAAGGGATTATAGGGTTGTTAAAAGATGATTAATCCGAGAAGAAAAATAAAATTGAAAATTCCTAATAGGAGCTACAAGTCTAAATCAGTATTTCTCAACCTCAGCAACTTTAAGTTTTACGGACTTCCGGCTAGAAAATTCTGGGAGTTGAAAGCCATACCTCTTAAAGTTGAGAAATACTACTTTAGAGAGTTGCAATGGGGGAAAAACTGTGTGGAGAAACGAGAAGTTTATTTTGATTTTGAAATAAGTCCCATATACTCTGCACTTGGTTTTTTTTCTGAATGTCTCCATTTTGTGAAGGTTGGTTTTTCTCTTCAAGAGGATTGACTGATGATTGATACAGACTTTTCTTTATTTTCAACATTACATTTCTTTTTAAAATTAAAATCAATGTTATGCTTTTAAACAGTTGCATTGTTTAACTTCTATATTAATGCTAGCAAGATTAGGCTGCAGTGGGAGGTTGGCCATGTGCCAGTTCGCACATTGTGCTAAGCCAGTTTTAAATGCAAGTGAATGCCTGGTTCACACTAATACTAGACTGAAAATGAAGACATTTTTACCAGTTTATATTTTTTTTTTGTATTTTATCAGAATAGAAAATACAAAGGAGAATAAAAATAATGGGAAACTAGGGTGAGGAAAAGGAGAAGAGGAGAGAGTGTAAGATAGAAGGGGAAAAAGAAAAAAAAGGCATTGACTTCTGACTCTTTTTAGCACAGAAGATAACATTATAGCCTAAACTTTTTATTTTTGCACAGTAATATGTACCGTGCCATTTCTATAACAAATCTATCTAATCTGAAAAACCAAAACCAAAGTTTCATTTTCCCCCCAACACAAGCACTAAATCCAGAAGCGGCTTCCAAACAGAAATAAAATTAGATGCATTCTCTTCTTTGGATAAAACAATCAATTTAACCATCTCTGGTTTTATTTAAATATTTTTCAGTCAGCTCTTTTGCAAAAGGACAAAATCCATCTGCCTTCATCTTAGCTCCCTCTTGTGGTCAAAGAGTAGTTTTGTAATCAATCAGTTAATGCTTCCTGACCGATGAGAATTCATACAAATCAGAACGTTTCAGCCACCCACAACAAAACAACCCAAATCAATAAATTACTTAAAAGTAATAAAATAGAGCCACATCTTTCTGTCCTTATATTTCACCATCAAAGATATTCCATTCCTCCTGGTACACGACAAACTACTCCTAAAAATAAAATCCTATGGTATCTCTGGACAACTGAATAACTGGATAGAAGCATTCCTGGCAAACAGACAACAAATGGTCAAAATTGGGAGCGTCCTATCAAATTCTGTACCTGTCAATAGTGGTGTCCCCCAAGGCAGTGTTCTAGGACCAACTCTCTTCATACTCTACATAAATGACCTCTGTGATCATATTAAGAGCAATTGCGTTCTCTTCGCTGATGATGTAAAGCTGTTCAATACCACAGACAATACTGCTACCCTACAAAAAGATCTTGACTATGTATCCGAATGGTCAAACAAATGGCAACTTCAAATCTCAACAAATAAATGCTCTGTCTTACATATTGGCAAAAAAAATCAGAAAATAAAATACAAGCTGAATAGTCAAGATCTTGTTGATGACCCAAGCTCTGTAAAGGACCTTGGAATACTCACCTCTAATGATCTAAGTGCTAGAGCCCACTGCAACTACATAGCCAAAAAGGCATTAAGAGTTGTTAACCTAATCCTACGTAGCTTTTTCTCTGGTAATATCACACTACTAACCAGAGCATACAAAACATTTGCTAGACCAATACTCGAATACAGTTCATCAGTCTGGAACCCACATTACATATCTGATATTAGCACAATTGAGAAAGTCCAGAAATATTTCACAAGAAGAGTTCTCCACTCCTCTACTCGTTGTAGAATACCTTATGCCACCAGACTTGAAATTCTAGAACTAGAAAAACTTGAATTACGCCGTCTTCGGTCTGATTTAAGCATGGTATATAAAATCATACATTGCAATGTCCTACCTGTCAATGAATACTTCAGCTTCAACCATAACAACACAAGAGCACACAATAGATACAAACTCAATGTTAACCGCACCAAACTTGATTGCAGGAAATATGACTTCAGCAATAGAGTGGTCAATGTCTGGAATACTCTACCCGACTCTGTAGTTTCTTCCCCAAACCCCAAAAACTTTAACCTTAGACTGTCTACTATTGACCTCACCCCTTTCCTAAGAGGTCTGTAGGGGGCGTGTATAAGCGCACCAATGTGCCTACCGTCCCTGTCCTATTGTTTCTCTTATTCTTCTTTTATTTTTCTTATATGTACCCATTTCATGTATTCACAACTATGTATACACTTATACTTATTATCTTGTAAACAATTGGCAAATCAAATAAATAAATAAATAAATAAATAAATAAATAAATAAAATTATTTTGGCTCGCTTTCAGCAACTTCCTTCCTCATTGTTTAATAATAAAGTTTCAAAAAAATAATGCAGATCTTCAAAAAGGAGTAACAGCCTGTGAATATAAAATTAAAAAGGCCCTTTAATTAGTCAACATAATAATCCCATAAAGTGATTAAGAAATGAAACGCATGACTTACTGTCTGTTTGAAAAATAAATTCCAAAACAGTTACTTTTTCAATAAGAAAGTGATTAGCAGTGGTGGGATTCAAGCGGTGTTACTACTGGCTCAGTGACTACGTTTTGCACGTGCATGTAAAAAAAACCTTTAGCTGTGCTGCCTGGACAGCTGAAAAGCGCTGCACAAGGGTATGCAGCATTTGAAAAGCCACTTTTTCCCTGCTTTTTCAACCTCAGCTGTGCAATGCAAAGCAGCTGAGGCTGAAAAAAGCAGGAAATAAAGGACAGTTAAGAGCCCGGGCAGGCGGGTGGGCCAAACAGTAGCAAACACAGAACCGGGTTCGGTGTCTGCTGCTCCTCAGAGCTACCGGATCTATAGAGCCAGGCAGAACCAGTAGCATCCCACCGCTGGTGATTAGTCTCCCCCACCCCCACAGCTGAACAGCTCTCCAGCTACTCCAAAGCACAGCTCCTGAAACTACTTGCAGACTGTATGTTGTTGACGGTTAAGCCACATTTGAGGCTCCAGTCATCAAATAATGATATGAACCTACATAAAGAAGAAGAACATTGAAAAATCCTTGATGATGCTTGATTATGAAAAGCAGGAATAGTTTTTTTAAGAGTGATTGTGAAGTAGCAGTGAAGGTGATGCTAGGATGATATAAGAGCCTTTAGGCTTACAATAAAATCAATATTTGCAGAGAGCAAATGAGACTTTTGTTTGTGGCCTAAACTTTCTTCTTGAATGCAGGTCATCTGATATGCACTTACAAAATTGAAGAACCAAACCAAACTAAATTCACAGTGAGACATTTGAAACCCAATACAAAATACTTATTTGCGCTTCAGGCTTATGCTGTCAATCCTAATTATACTGACAATGTCAACTTTAAGGCAGTGTTTACGCCCGATAATGGTAAGTCCTTCTCATTTGTACTTATTTAACTATGGGCAAAAACATGGGACTTCTTTTGAATTTTGGCAGCTTGTGTGTTTGGACCTATGCCTTTTATTTGAATTTTGAATATAATATTTTGCATTTCTACACATTTCTATGTGCAACAGCAGGCAAAAAAGCTAATACAATCCTGGGTTGTATAAACAGAGGCATAGAATCAAGGTCACGTGAAGTATTAGTACCGCTTTACAAAACCCTAGTGAGACCACACCTGGAATACTGCAATCAATTTTGGTCACCATACTACCAAAAAGATGTTGAGACTTGGGAAAAAGTTCAGAGAAGAGCAAATAAGATGATCAAAGGCCTGGAGACTAAACCATATGAAGAACCACTGCAGATTTTGGGTCTGGCTAGTCTAAAGAAAAGAAGAATTAAGGATGACATGATAGCAGCATTTCAGTATTTGAGAGGCTGCCACAAAGAAGAGGGGGTCAAATTATCTTCCAAAGCACCAGAGGGCAGGACAAGAAGTAATGGTTGGAAATTGATCAATGGTTGGAATTAAGGAGAAACTTCCTAACAGTAAGGACAGTTAACCAGTGGAACAGCTCGCCTTCAGAAATTGTGGGTGCTCCATCACTGGAGGCTTTTAAGAAGAGAATGGACAGTCACTTGTCTGAGATTGTACAGGTTCTCCTGCTTGAGCAAGGGGCTGGACTAGAAGATCTCCAAGGTCCCTTCCAGCTCTCTTCTATTCTAAATTCTACATATAGCATAAAGGTAACGGTGGTGTCTGACTTTTAGGGTGGTGCTCATTTCCATTTCTTAGCCAAGAGAACCATCAGTGTCCAAAGACATTTCCATGGTCATGTGGCCATCATAACTGTATGCCGAGGAGCATGGAATGCTGTTACTTTCCCACAAAGTGGTACCTATTTATCTACTCGCATTTGCATTCTTTTAACTTGCTAGGTGGGCATGTGATGGGGCAAGGACAGGAGCTCACTCCATCGCATAGCAGACAGGTCTCAAACCTGGGCTGTCAGCTTATAGCTGACAAGTTCATTGTCTTTAACCATTGAGCCATCGTGCCCCTTCCACCTACAGCATGTAGGAGATCGTCTACAGCTAATAGTCTAAAAATTAACTAATTAAATTAAGTCATATTAACCCTGGCTGAAAGCCCTGGTGGCAAAGGTAGCGGCTAATTCCTTTTCTGACAACATCGTGAATATTAGTGTATCGTTTGTGGAAGTTTTATGGAATAAGCGGGAGCCTGAGCAGAAAATGAATTTTTAAGAAGTCATTCCATCAGACTTAATGTCCAGAAAGTTTGCACCAATAAAGCAGTTTCTGAGATAGGCCCTAAATTGAGATTAAAAGTTTGAAGCCTTGAATTCTGCATTCTGAAATGTATGGATAACCTTGCATTATTATTTAAGGGTGTTTTTTTTAAAGTTGTGAACAGTTTGCTATTATTTCAAGATGTTTTCAACTGATATTTTTAAATACAATTTTAATACAGGAGTTACCTTGCCCCTTACATTTGCTGAAGCAATTCAATATAAATGAAATATATTTTCATTATTCACCACTCAAAAGTGTTCTGACTCTCCAAGGATGATGGCCATACCAGTTACATCTGAGATACATCTAACTGTGATGTAACCCAAGGTTTCAGTGCAAGTGGTCCTCAATTTACGATAGTTCATTTAGTGATTGTTTGAAGTTAACAGTGGCACTGAAAAAAGTGACTTTCGACTGTTTTTCACATAAACGTTGCGGCATCTCCATGGTCATATGATCAAAACTTGGATGCTTGGCATCTGGTTCGTATTTATGACGGATGCAGTGTCCTGGGGTCATGTGATCGCCTTTCTGATCAGCAAAGTCAACGGGGAAGCCAGATTTATAACTGTGTTACTAACAATGTCAGGGCTCTGGTAGTGACTCCCATTTAAATCATGAGTCTCTAGCTTGATTTTTCAAAGCTCAAAGAAGATTTATTAGGAGCAGACATGCCGGTGCTGCCTGGGTGTAGCCGACTCTGAGACACATCATTCGTTGTCACCCTTGACCCTGGTTTTCCCCCACCCCCTGGGTGTATCGTAATTCATATTCTCCAATGAGACACATCCATAGCCAAGAGTCATCAATCATACTCTCCAGTTAGAATTTTGCCTGGCAGAAACTTCAATCTCCTAGAAACAATCTATGAAACATCCATGGAATGCAGTTTCATTTTTGCAGCTGTTGCACTACTCCCCTCTCCCTTTCTGTTGGCAACTCTAAAAGACCAGAGAAATATTTTATGAGTTGACATCTAACAACTGCAGTGATTCACTTAACAACCGTGACAAGAAAGGTTGTAAAATTGGTCAAGCTGTTAACAACTGTTTCATGGTCATAAGTCAAGGACTACCTATAATCACTGACAAATTCAACTGTCTCAGGAATGTCTGCCAGCAGCTTATTGGATGTCATGTACCATCATATTCCTTGCCATTGCTTCGACCTAGAGACTACTGAAAAATAAGTAGCAGCAACTATGGGGCTGTTATGTTGGTCGTGCAGCCTTCATGAAGCTGAGTGAGAGTGAATCAAAACTCAGTGTATTTTTGCCTTGACTTTGGCCAGAGATTAGAGAGTTAAGATTTGCCAAGCTATGAAAACAAGCATGCTATCTGGAGACACAGACAGACATAAACTGGGTCATTGGCAATCACATTTTTAAAATTAGCTCTTGCTGGCATTTTCAAATTTATATCAGTGAAATCATCATCAAGAAATAGGTGGTTATTAATGTTATGTTTCTCTTTTCCTGAAAATGAATTGAAAAATCTTTTTTTCTTTAAGTTTAGCCTAAGAAATCTGTCTTATTGTGTTGAAGAATTGTAATTAAACATTTAAATAGACGTGTACTTGATTTTCTTTCCAACAGAAAAATGGTTTTTCAATCTACTTTACCTACTAGTGATTATCCCATTAATACTGATGTGTGTGTGTTCCAGTAAAAGTAATCGGTAAGTGCACAGCAACCAAAGTATTACTGTAATAGATTAAGATGCAGCAGACATAAACATAACAAGCAGTAGAGAGAAAGCAGAGCTGCTTAACTCAATTTTTGCATCAGTCTTCATGCAAAAAGAAATTTATAGCCCAGCCTTTCTAAAATCTAACCATAAAAGACAGATTAGAAATAAAAATTAAAATAAGCAAGATGTCAGCTTCAAGGCTGACACAAGAAAATGGTAAGAGAACATCTATCTGATCTTGAATATAAATCACTGGGACCTGATGGAATTACCTTTTAGAGTTCTAAAGGAGCTAGCAAATGTTATCTCAGAACCATTGTACCATTTCTTTCAAAAATCCTGGAGTACCGGGGAACTACCTGAGGATTGGAAAAGACCTTGATGTGGTTCTCATCTTCAAAAAAGGAGAGAGAAAAACCAGATTCAGGAAACTACAAACTAAATCAGCCTAACATCAATACCTGGGAAGATACTGGAAAAGATTATCAAAAAAATAGATTTGTGAACATCGAGAAACAAAGTTATAACTAGAAGGCAGCATAGGTTTGTAAAAACAGATCATGCCAAACGAATCTTATTTCATTATTTGACAAAGTGACTAAATTAGTAAACCACAGCAAAATGCTGTGGACATAGTATATTTAGATTTCAGTAAGGCTTTTGACAAAGTAGACTACAAACTACTTCTTGATAAGCTAGAAAAATGTCAGATAGACACCATAACCACCAAATGGCTTTGTAACTGGCTTAACAAACCATATTCAACAAGTAGTTCTTAATGGTACTATATCTATATGGAGGGAAGTAGGCAGTGAGGTATCACAAGGTTCTGTCTTAGACCCACTGCTCTTCAATATTTTAATAAATGACTTAGATAAGGGGATAGAAGGGGAAATCATCAAATTTGCAGATGACACTAAGCTGGCAATGTCCCAGAAGACAAGCTCAGGATCCAAAAACATTTTGACAGACTTGAATGATGGGCTTTATCCAACAACATGAAATTTAATGTGGAAAAAAGCAAGTTTTACACTAAGGCAGGTAAAACTAAAGATACAAGTACAGATTAAGCTAAATGTGGTTCAAAAACAGAAACTATGACATAGACCTTGGAGTCCTAGTGGACAATCACTTAAATATGAGCCAGCAGTGTGCAGCAGCAGCCAAAAAAGCTAATGTAATCCTTGGTTGTTTAAACATAGGCATAGAATCAAAATCATTTGAAGTATTAGTACCACCTTATAAATCCTTAGTAAGACCTGGAATACTGCCTCCAGTTTTTGTCACCACATTACAAAAAACAATGAGACTTATAAAAAGTGCAGAGAAGAGCAACTAAGATAATTAAAGGCCTGGAGATTAAAACATGAAGAATGGTTGTAGGAACTGGGTATGTCTAGTCTAGAGAAAAGAAGCACTAGGGGTGACATGATAGCAGTATTCCAGGATTTGAGAGGTTGCCCCAAACCCCAAAAACTTTAACCTTACTTCTATTGACCTCGCCCCTTTCCTAAGAGGTCTGTAGGGGGCATGCATAAGCGTACCAACGTGCCTACCATCCCAGTCCTATTATTTCTTTTATATTTTTCTTATATGTATCCATTTCATGTATTCATAACTATGTTTATACTTATACCTGTTATCTTATA